GAGCCAGGAGGTGAGGCTGAGGAGCCTAACGACGAGGGAGGCCCGGAAAGAAAGGACACGAAACCGGGCCTTCTCGGCGGTGGCTCCTCGCCTCTGGAACAATCTCCCTCCTGAGATCCGCGCGGCCCCCACTTTGAACACTTTTAAAAGTCAGTTAAAAACATGGCTATACATTCAGGCCTTCCCTCCAGTTAATACAGTATCTGACTTTTCTGTTTATTCTCTCCTTATGTATTTTCTATTCTATTGTTGTATTCTGTTTATTACAATATGATTTATGTAATTGTTTGTGTTTTTTGTATTATTTCACTGTTTTTACTATATTGGAAGCCGCCTAGAGTGGTCTTTTAGACCAGATGGGCGGGGTATAAATCAAGTAAATAAATAAATAAAATAATAAAGGTTTTGTGGTTTTTATGTGCCATCAGAAGCAACTTATAGTGACACTAATAGGGCTATCAAGGTAACTGAGATATTTAAGGAATGGTTTTACTAGTTCCAGTCCCCAAATGAGTTTCCTTGACTAGACGGGGTTTCAAACTCTGGTCTCCAGAGTCTTATTTTATATGCCAGCTGATAGACAGGTAGGCTCCTTTGAAGTATAAATGAAGACCAATTGTTTTTCGGATGATGTGCTGATATTACAATTGTATCACAGTCAACAACTTCTTGGGTATTGCTATACCCAAGGCTGTAGATAAAAACAGGTTATTATATATTGTGCAACAGAGCAAATCAGGATATTCTCTGGTGCTCACTAGCATTCACAAAGTGACACCAAGCAAGGCAAACCCAAAAGCTGACTTTTTTTTTCATTAATCATTTCTCACTCAAACACTAAGCAATTGCCATGGATACTTTTTGACAAGTGTGAATGGTAGTGAGCACAAGAGGATATCCTATAGACCATCTTGACTGCTGTCATTGGTGTTGTCAACATTCAGGCTGTCTTTTGATATGTAACATTTGGCAACCTTTTTCCTGCTGGCAATGAAAGTATGATATTATGCAGCAATAGGGGGCCATTTCCTGGTATTTTGAATTGTGGATACAGAATACAATGGATCCACAATATCCCAAATTTATAAGCCATAGGTTTTCATAGCGGGATCTGAAAGCCTTGGAAATGGATCTCAACGGATGGGAAATCCTGACATCAGAGCGTTCAGGCTGGAGGCAGGCGGTACATCACAGCCTCTCCCAATTCGAAAGAAACTCTTGTCCAGCAGACAGAGGAAAAGAGGCAGTCACGAAAGCAGCAAAATCAGGGAGCTAGATGGGGTACAGATTGTATCTGTCCTCAATGTGGAAGGGATTGTCACTCTCAAATTGGCCTTCTCAGTCACACTAGATGCTGTTCCAAGTCCTCCATGTAGAGCACGATACCATAATCTCTCGAGACTGAAGGATACCTATTCTAGGCTTTTTAAAGAATTGAATTAATATAAGCACTATGCTAAAAATCCCTGATGTTTATTTAATTCACTGGAATTTGTGGATGTAGCCCACTTAATTTTTCCTCCCTCTCTTCTCCCTTTTTTCCACAAAAGTTGCTTTGAGATCTGTAAAAGATCTTGGAACACTGTAAGTGACTTTTGTGTGGTGACGTTTCTGATGTCAGATTTGTGGGTTTATATTCTCTTGCATAGTCATGCCCTTGTACAAGCAGTCATGTTCCTTGTTACTCATTACACTCAAGTTCTGACAATTTGGAATTATATGTGTCCAGCCTTGAGCCCTGTATTCTTTGTGCCTGAGCTTCCCCTGTATTTTTTTTAAAGAGGAAATAGATCCAAGGGTATCAACAGTAAAGTACTCCAGCCCGCATAGAGGCCTTTTATTTTTTGGCTCTGCTAGGAGGATGCACATAGCTCTCTTGAACTAAACTGTCATGTGACCAGCACCTGTGGCGCCTATATCAGCAGCAAATGTTTAACAGAAACAGAGACGGGATAATGACACCATCAGCAATAGCTACTGCCGACTCTCATGAAAAGAGAATGGCAACACACTTACTTTTGTCTACAGTGAAAAGTTTTCAAAGCAGAGGAAGTTAGTTAATAGACAAAAATATCTCTTTTCTTAGTAGAAAAGGCAGCTATACCGATTACTTTTCAAAACTCAAGCGCACAAAAGCAAGGAAATGCAAGCCAAGCCAAGCCAGCAAATACTGTGTGACAATCATTGTGCATTGTATTATTTGTAATGCACAATGATTGCTGCGCAGTTTTTAACAGCTTTGCTTGCACTTTTTTTCCTATTGTACATTTTTGAAGAATTAATGGATAGAGCAACATTAACCCTTCACGTAACCGAGGGTTACTTTAGCAGTAATGGCTCCAAGCCTATACTACCGGAAGCTTACTTCTAAGTAAATGAGCCTGGACTCCAACTGGCTCGGCTCCTCCAGACTGACCAGAGCAGGGAGGGCGGAACCAAGGAAAAGACGGGTTTCCATCTCGCTGGGGGTTTTCGGCTTCACTCGTCTGTGGGGATGAAAAGGAAAATGTGAGACTATGGGCTAGGAGGGGGACGCCTCCAACGGATGAATGCTGGCTCCACAACTGACAGGAGGCTGCTTTCCAGCCCAGGGGCACCCCAGGGCCACTTCAGGTCTCATCCCAGCCTCATGAAGACTGGGGAGCAGAGGTGGGGGAATCCCTACAGGAGGATGACAGGGCAGGCCAGAAGCCCTGGCTTGTTGGGACGACTTCCTTCTGCTGCAAGAGCTGCTAGCCCCTGGGCTCTCCTTGAGCATTTCCCTCCGACTCAAGGTCATGTGTCTTCCTCTGTTCTCCCTTCCACCCCTGACTCCCCCATTCCGCATTCAGGCCCCTTCCCCCTTCACTCCTCTTTTTCTCGCCTTCCTGACCTCCCTTCTTCCTCACAACCCCCACCCACCTGCTAATCCCAATGACTGGGGAGAGACACAACTTTGCCTACACTTCCCTCTCCCCACCCCACCCCCATCCCATCCACACACATCCCATTTGGACCACCTCCCAAAAGAGACCAAGGAGAGGGAGGGAGAGGTTGACGTCCTTCCCCCATGGCTTTCAGGGGGAAGACTCCTGCCCCTCAATTCAGACGCCCGTCCTCATGTTCCAGCTGGTTCATCCGCTTTCTTTCCTTTCAGAAGCCTTTGAACCAACTACAACTATGGATCAATCCCGCCACCGGCCCTTTTGAGCTGCCCTGGTGAGGGGACTGCCGGGAGGGATGGTCAGGATGAAGACCCGGAAGCTCCAATGGAAGACAGACCCAAAGTTCACTTACCACAAGTGCAGAAAGCATCTCTGCCTTCGAAAAGGGCCCATCAAGTTGCAGTTCCTCCTCCATGTGGTTCCTCCTCCATGCAGGCGGTGGTTGGGCAGCAGAGGAAGTAGAGTTGGTGTTGAAAACCCAGCTGAACCTGGAGACAGGAGGAGAGTCTGGCTGTGATTCGGGAGGGCTTTCTCTCTGTCTCTCTCTCTCTCTCTCTCTTTCCTGCCAAGCCCCAGGGAGGCATCCCGTGGGGGCTCTGGAGGAGAGGCTGGAGATGGCTAATCCCGGCCCCCTCCTGCACCCGGAGACCCCCGAGTGAAGCCTGGCAGGGAGGTGTCCAAGGCGGCCGTACCTGGTCTCTCCTGCCTCTCCTGCGCATAAACCACTCGATGGTGTTGAGGGAATCCAGGGAAGGCTCCAGGGAGGAGTCTGCAGAGGCTGTCATGGAGCATCAGAGGAGGCTGGAAAAGGATGCTAAAAGGGCTGAAGGGAGACCGAGTTCGGTCAAGAGGACATGAAGGTCCAGCTAGCTGTGGCCCCTGAGCCACCCCCCTCTATGACCTTGTGGGTCTCACCTGGGGCTCTGCACTCCCCCACTGCTGGGATGACAGCCATAACCGTGGGGAGATCGTGGCTTCCAGAGCCCCCGTGATGGCGGCCAGCCCTCTCCCGCAACACCTCCAGCCCTGAAACAAGAGGTGGGCACAACCTCCGCTCATCAAGCTCTCCAACAGCGTAAGAGGGACCTCCGCCCTTGGGTTTCCTCCTCCAAGGGCCCCAGAAAGCTCCACGCTCTCTAGCCTTGAAGGGCTGCTGGCCGTTGGAGGGGGAAAGGAGGGTTTTCCGACTGGAGCCTCCTGCAAGGGACGTGGATGTTCCTCTTCGCCCTCTTCCTCTTTCTTACAGCACGGTCTTGCAGCCAGGAGAGAGTTCAGGTGGCCAACCACCCACACGTCCTGACCACCACCACCACCATTGACATTCTTTACCGGTCAGAAGAAGATGCAGGGTCATCTCTTCTATCTTGGTCACTGGGATGCTCTGTAAAAGGGCCCCTAAAACAAGGAAACGGAGGGAAGAAAGGGTCAGGCTGCCCCATCCTTTCCCAAGTCCTGGTTCAAAGGAGGATTTGAACAGAAAGGAGAGGCTGGTTTAGCTTTCTTGCTGGGAGTTTGATCCCCCACTGGGCCCCCTTGACCAATACTGGACTTGAGGATCCATGGGGGTGAAGCGTCCCTTCCAATTCCACGGTTCTAAGCTGATGATTAGATTACCTGAATTTTCCACAGCTTTCATTCGGACCTCGTCCTGGCCACTCGAGAAATAAGTGGCAGCTTTCTCAGGAGGCCCACACTCTGTTTGGAGCTTTCTTTGACCTAAAGATTTGGGTAAAAATCACTTCAGTTTGTTGGGCTGACAAAATCCATGTTTAAAATAACATGAGGATGACTGTGGTGGTTTATCCCAGTCTTGGACAGATAGCTCACAAGGCTGTGTTGCATTATTATTATTTTTTTAGTTTCACTGAGATAGCTCACAAGGCTGTGTTGCATTTTTTTTTTAGTTTCACTTTTTGGTGTTTTTTTGTCTTTATTACTGTACATGTAAATAAAATCAATGATTCTGTTTCCCAGCTTAGCTGGGTCCTCCACCCTGTAGCCTTCTGGGAAGCCTTAGGCCACCTGGAGGCTCTCTGCCCCAGGCTCTTGTCACGCGAGGCTGCAAAACCACCCCCCACCACCTGCCGAGGGCTCTCATTTCCCTCAGAAACCAAAAAAAACCCCACCTACACCTCGATGAAAGAGCCTCCCTGCCCAGCTCCCCACAGGTGCCCCTCTTAGAGATGTGGTGGCGCTGCGGGTCAACTCTGGCTGGCAGACGGGGCTCTCTGGAAGGCAGACTTTCCAAGCCATACCTGGGGACACCTTATACGTCCCTGCCGGTGGATGGGGGAGGATGTTTCTGTGTCTCCCATTCAAATATCCACCAGGCCTGCCCCAGCTTTGCTTTCCATGCTGATTCTCGCTCACCTTCCGCAAGGCCTCAACCTGTGCCAGTAGCTCCCCCGCACGCACATCCTCCTGCCTGGCACTGAGGGAACTGGATTTCCGCTGAATGTAGGCAAGGTGGTGCTGCGCATGTGCTGGCAGTACAGGGTTTGACCTCTGCACAACACTCTTGGTTTGCCTGCCTAGGAGGGAAAGAGGAAAAAAAACATTTGTTTGTTTGTTTCTTTGTTCATTTAGCTTGTATATTGCACTGGCAGTTTACAACCAGAATTAAGCTAACATAAAGTAAAACAAATCATAAATATAGTACAGTGGGGTCTCTACTTAAGAACTTAATCCGTATTGGAAGGTGGTTCTCAAGTTGAAAAGTTCTTATGTTGAATCTGCATTTCCCATAGGAATGCATTGAAAACCATTTAATCCGTATCTGCTCTTTTCCGTCCATAGAGACTACAGTGCAACCTCTACTTAAGAACTTAATCCGTTTTGGAATGGTGTTCTTAAGTTGAAACGTTCTTAAGTTGAAGCAAAATTTCCCATAGGAATGGACTGAAAACCAATTAATTCGTTCTGGCTGTTTTTTTGTTATGTAGAGTTGCGTTCGTACATTGAAGCATTAGTTCCCATAGGATTAATACGTACTCTACCACTAGGGGGAGAAATTTTTTTTAACTAAGATGACCTAAGGTTAAAATAAGAGCAGGAAAGGTTTTTTTTCCTGTTCTTATCTTGGATTTCTGTTCTCAAGTAGAAGCAAAATTTAGCAAATGGAGCTGTTCTTAAGTTGAATTGTTCTTAAGTAGGGACGTTTTTAAGTGGAGACCCCACTGTATGAAACAAGCACAACCTATAATCAATTAAAAAAACTCAAATAAATTAATGAAAACCAAACAATGGAGAACAGGCAATCTAAAAATAGTTATATTACATTAAGAATGGATGATCTTAAAGGCTTCAATATACAGCTCCTTGTCTTGAGCATCCTCTTAAAAGGTAGTAAGGGAGGATGCCAGGCGTGGCTTCACTATCATGACTCCTTTCCAGAGGGACCCTTCTCCCACCTAGGTCTACCCGTACCACCCAATCTAGCCAGGAGGTGAGACTGAGGAGCCTAACACCGAGGGAGGTCCGGAAGGAAAAAACAAGAAACCGGGCCTTCTTGGCAGTAGCTCCCCGTCTTTGAAATAGCCTCCCTCCTGAGATTCACATGGCCCCTTCCCTGGGCACCTTCAAATGCCAACTGAAAACCTGGCTGTTCAAGTAAGCCTTTCCTCCATCACTGTCTGATTTTGTTTTTTTATACTTTCTCCCATCTGGATCATTGTGTTTTTTAATAATATATTGTTATAATTTTAAACTGTATTTGCTATATGATATGTTGTTACCCGCCCACAGTAGTCGGTATGACTAGATGGGCGGGCTATAAATGTAATAAATAAATAAATAAATGTAATAAATAAATAAATAAATAATGAGAAATTCTAATACAAAGATGCCAAAGAGGTATTACGAGGAACTGGAAACATCGATTTTAGAAACTTTGTGGTCTGCTGCAGCTTTGAAAACACAATAATTTAAAATCCTGCATTATCCCTGGGAGCAATCTAAAACAAAACTTAAAACCAGATTAAAAGTTGTCCAAGAGGACGTACACAGCAACAGAAAAACCCTGTGACTACCATGTGACTTTAAATCAATTGCTTAAATCCAGATCCAGAATGCGAGGTATTTCACAAAAGTGTAATATTTGATGTTCCTCCAAACTAGCTGCACTGTTGTTGTTCTAAGCATCAGCACTTATTTCGTTATACAACAGAAACGTCTATTCTTTTACACAACAAATATCTCGTTATGTTCCAGTGGCAGCTACTTAGTAAGGAAGTAACTCTGTTGGCTGCTTGGCCATAGCTCAGCTAAAGAGGGAGTGTAAAGAGAAGTTTATTCACTGACAACCTTCCAGTTCAGAACCAGCAGTGGCAAGAGAAAAGTAAGTGTGGCCCTCTGAATGAGCGAGTGATTTTTAGAGCCTGTGACTAGAAGCCTTTTGAGAATTTGTTGGAGAAGAGAGAAAAAGCCTTGTGTCTAGTTGATCTTTAATTTCTAGATTCATCTTCTTGGTGTGAAGAAAATGCCATTGGTCATCAGGTTACTCGGGTGCTTTCAGGGGGGATTACGATCTGGCCTTTCCCCCATACAGAAAAGAAGGGCAGAAAGGTCTCTCCCACAAATGAGGCTTCAGAGAAGGTGTACAGATGGGCTGCTGTGTCAGCATTGTAGAAAGCAACCCTCCCAGCTGCACAATTCAGAGACACTCGGATTCTTTTGAGGTCATTACTTGGAGACAAACAAGTGAGCGAAGGATGGCTGGTAGACCTGTATTCACCTTTCCACTTCCCTACAGCCAAGATACCCCCCTTCGGACTCGAGAAAACAGGGTCCTCTCTCTCCACTGACTCTCGGGTGACCCCTGCCAGCCAGTTCTCCTCACTTCCCACAACAACTTCCCAGAAATGTCTGCCTGCTGTGAATCTCTCCTGTCCCAGCACAATATAAGCTTTGGCAAATCTCTTACGGTTGTCAGGCAGATCTTGGAATTCGGATCCACATGTTACACTTTTATGATCTTCAGAAACAATAAGCTGCAGATGAGCCGTGTCTGGATCCAGGGTTATGTTTGCTGCAGGAGAAGAGAGTTGAGAGGAAAAACATAAGGAGCAACATCAATTATAGAATCCACTGACCAACATGCTGACCCTAAGCATGCCAGAGGAATCAAATTCAAAATCAAGAGGTCACCCAAATACTGCAGGTTTGGGAGGACCTTCTCCTTTTTTTCAGACATTCCTACAACAATATGCTGAACCTCTTAACTTATATTCAAAACAAATCCCTCTCCTGTCACTCAAGACATCTTGCAATAAGAAAAAGTGACAGAGGAGATGAAAATGGAAGGTGGGAATTTGGGGAAGACAGTGGAGGGGGGGGGAGAGCCTTATGTTTTTGGTGAAACTGTGGCATGAAGGGAAAGTGGGAACTGAGAAGAGGAAGCGGCCGCCAGGGCTCTGAGGGAAGCCATCATCACCACCAGCGCCGCCACCACCACCAACACCCCTCAAAGCGACAGGAAAGGGAAGGGAAGCAATTCGGGGTGGAGGGGAAAGATGGAGGAGGAGACCTCAGAGGATTCAGTAACTGAAGGACCGATTGAGGTGGTGGGGTTGAGGTGGAGTGGTGACAGATTGAAAAGAGACCATACCTTCCAAGCCAGAAGGAAGTGTGTGTGTGTG